GCAGGTAAACACCCTCTATACTCAGGCAGTGTTTCTCAATCTTTTTTTTTTATTATTATTTTTATGGCGACATTTTAATTTTTTGAAAGTCTCTGTGACTCCTCCCTAAAATAAATAAATTTATCCATGATCAAGTGTTTATTGAAACCAGGAAACTGGGTACTTGAGGGAACTGGAGATACCATACTGGATATAGAAAACACAACAATGTTATACAACTTCAGAGAGGAAGACAACTCGAGGTTATCAAAATATACATACAGTACCTATACATAATCAAGATATACATATTCATTATCAAGATACAATACAGCTATACAGGGGTATAAATATTGTCCAGTTATACAGTATACTGTACTGTACATTATCAAAATATACATATACAGTACATATATTATCAAGATACACATATACTGTACATTAACAAAATATACATATACAGTACATATATTATCAAGATACACATATACTGTACATTTACAAAATATACATATACAGTATCAAGACATACATATACATTATCAAAATACACATAGAACTGGGTCATGTATTTTTCAATTAGTGTATGTTAGCCAGCCTTTAGGGGGGTGGGCAGTGAAACAGTGTTGTACTGTACTGTTCATCGCTTCACACCCAAAAACCTCATTTTAAGTAGTATCCCCTGAGCCATGGGTTAGTTAAGACGTCGTCTCCATCCTCTCCCTCCTGAAAGGGGGCGGGACACCACACCACACAGAGTCCTCCACCGCCACTCCGTCCTGTGAACCGTCGTCGACACGAGACTAAGCGTGTTAACCTAGGTTGTTATCCCCGTGGAAATATCACGTGTGGATGCCTGGTTGCGACGAGCAATCCAGGCTGGCCTATCAAACCTACAGTAAATGGTTAATTAATTCACGCTTACAGAGTTCTCCTGCACGACACCCGTCTACAGTGACCGTGATCGACACGAGACTAAGTGTGTTAACCTAGGTTTGTTATCCCTGTGGAAATATCACGTGTGGAAGCCTGGTTGCGACAAAAGCAATCCAGGCTGGTCTATTGCACCTAAATGGTTAATTCAAGTCACGCTTACCAGTTGTCCTTGCCGCGATAACCGTCTACAGTGACTGTCAGTGACGCGAGACAATGTGTGGTAACCCAAGAGTACTTTTTGTTACTATGGCCGTGGAAAGAAGTTCTTGTGATGAAGCCTGGTTGTAACAAAGCAATCCAGGCTGGCAGTAAATGTATCACTTGAAGAATTAAGGCTCTGTTAAGTCATACCCACAGTAGAGTAATCAAAATACACATATACATTATCAAGATATACACTAACAGTGCATAATGATACATTATCAAGATATACACTAACAGTGTATACTGATACATTATCAAGATACAGTACCCTTGTATATAGATTGACTTGCACCTTGCCTATATAAAATCTAACATTATTTGATATAGTCAGCACCAGCACCGAAAATGTAATGGTTGATACTGTGATTTTTTGAAGACCATGCAATGAAGATCATCTTCAGCATGGAGCCTACTTCTTAGTTTTGATTTTATTAGAAGCAGAGACAAGAAGCAGTGTCACACATTTATGTGGATGGAAAAGGCTTAAGGATTCTAAGCATTACTTCAGACAAAATTAGATGCTTGGGTAACTGCTATATCAAAAATTGTTAGAGTGTGAGAGACTCAAAGTCAATCTTAGCACAATCACTGTTGATCAATTCCTCAAACTCATCTTACTGGATGTGTATTCCTAGTTAAGGTACAACCAGCCCAAATTCTATCGACCTCACCCTGGCTCTTACTCGCAATTTTACCTGCCAATACTTGGTTAAGTAAGGCTGCATGTAATGGAGATTGTGATATTGAGGGCTAAAGGTTTGATTAAGTTAGCTTAAGGATTTACTTTTTATACTACAGTTACAAGTTAACAATATTGTACAAGCAAGTACGTATTTCTATTGTGTCTTCATGTGCAAGCTCTCTTTTTTTTTTTTCTGGTATCATCTTGCACCTGTTTCTGTAGGCTCTGTGGCCCTTGATCTGTTCAACACAATAGTGGGAAAAGAGTAAAGATAATAGATCATTATAGTTACAGAGTATTATTATTATTGAATATGACATGATAATAAGAGGATAAATGGTCATATTGAATGGATCATTGTTCAATTTTCAGCAAAGTAAAGACGAACTCTTCACAAATATTGAAGAAAATGAAGATAATGATGCCAGTGTCCGTCAGCGAGATCGAATGAGCCGTGACATACTAATGAAAAAGTCTTCCCAACTATCGGATGATCTACTCACTGTGACACGCTTAATACGCGACAACACAGAGAAGAGCCTCAAGACTGTCGATATATTAGGTAAGGGTTTGGTTTTCTTCTCACTTGTTGATGTGCAATGTCTCCCACAAGTGAGGACATTGTTGGTGTTGTAATACAAACATTCATGCGATCTCTGTGAAAATCTGTGTGGTAGTGAGTATACATTATTTGAGACACCCTGTATATATTGTAGGAGTTTGGTGATGAATCCATTTCTTAATAATTTTGATGGTGATGTTGGTTAGTTTTTTATTTTTGTTACAGTGGAAGGATCTCAAACTATTTTGTCGACCCAGGAGGAACTGAAGACAATGGGCTCTGTGATTGGCCAGGCACGGAAAATCTTAAACAAGTATGGCCGAAGAGAAAATACAGACAAGCTACTGATTTTCCTTGGGTTGGTATTTTTCTTAGCCTCTTGTCTAGTTGTCTTGAGAAACAGGTTTATCTTCTGATATTGATGAGTCAACATGATAAGATTCCTTACAATGATACTTGTCTTATTGAATGAAACACACTTCTTTTGATGGTGAAATATAAGTTGCTTCATTTTTTTATGAATTCATCTTTTTCCTTGAAAAAGATGCAACTTCCTTCTTTAAGTTTAGTGAAATAGACTCTCTTAATGATACTCTTGTTAAGCTGAAGTCTTTAATGTTTGGTGTCTAAATACATTGTTGTTATTTTTGGCTGTAATATTACTAATTTCGTTAATGGACCTTCATTATGCACTACACATGGTTTACACATTAAAAGTTTTACACACATTTTGTATAAAAGAATAAAACAAATACAAATCACGATGTAGTTTATTTGACCTAAAGGAAGATAAGCATGTGTGTTTTCTCTACCCCAAATACAATCCTCACATAAGCCTACCCATTGAACATGGTGTTGAAGGAGACAATGGTGGGGAGTTAACATGAATAATGGAGTTGGAGGCAATGATTGGGAGGTAACTTTAACATGGTGCTGAAGGAGGCAATGGTGGGGAGGTAACAGGAATAAGGTGTTGAAGGAGGCAATGGTGGGGAGGTAACATGAATAAGATGTTGAAGGAGGCAATGATGGGGAAGTACAAGGAATCATGGAGCTGATATTGATATACAGTACTGTACAGGAGGGAAAAACAACTTTAGGTGTTAGAGGAGGAAGAAGAACTAAAAGCAACAGTAATAAAATGCTTGAGAGCAATACATAGAATAAAAAATGTAGAAGTAAAGGGGATATATACGAGTAGATGTGAAAGAAATAACAGAATGTTGACAAGTGTTTGTAAGGGTTAAATGGTTTTGATAAGAAAAGTGAATGAACGATAAAAAGAGTATAATTCAGAAGTGGAGGGTAGGAGGGTGTGTAAAAATATAGGTAAAATGTAACAAAGATATATTAATTCTATAAAATGCATAAATAATTACTTGATTAATTATTTTAATAATTCTCTATGTATCAAGTGTACACACACACAGAAAAACCAAACCATGCTTTTTTATGATTACATGAAGCTAGAGCCTAAAGGTGCTTTGTGGGCTTTATGGCTGAAGCAGTTCAATACCAAAAAAATATGAATTATTCTAATCATTATTTAATAATTCTTGATGCATTAACCATAAATATGATATACAAATATAACACTAAACAGCATGGCATGTTTTATGTATTATTAAGTGAAGTTAGAACCTAAATGTGTTTTGCAGGCTTCACAGCAGTAAACAGTTCAATCACAGCATTGAAGACCTAATTCCTTGCTAAAGCGATCTCTACCAGCCCAGTGTTGCCAAACTCGTCAGTTGTTAAGTGGCAGAAGATCCTAAGCATGACAGATATACAGTTCTGTATTGTACAGTATTTGGGAGCAAGGTGCCAAGTTTCAATTGGTGGAGACTTCATCAGTTGAAGTGAGGGTCTGGGATGAGCCGTAGGTTAGGTTAATTGTAAACCCATAACCAATAGTAAGCAGGGGATCCAGGCTACCACAATTCTAATAAGAAAAACATTCTGATGATATAAGGAAGAGTTCTGTGTACGAGATCGTGACAAGTATTCATACTTGTGTCATATCAATAATAGAATTACTGTAATTTATTAATATATGTTTGTTATCGACATGGACCTGGTCGGTAACTACTATAACTGCAAAAGTAAGATATGTTAATACTGTACAATGCTTCCATGTTTATTCCAATCATGAACAAGGGTATCAAGTAATCAGTGCACTCTTATACTGTATATTACAGAAATACAATTGAGTTAAGAGTACTAAAGACCAGTACTGTAACTGAGGTACAGTACTCTTTTTTTTTAGAATGTATATAATACCAGAAGGACAATACTGTACTAGCACTTCCCACTTCAAAGGTCGGATATTTCAGCATCAAAATGTTACATGATCTGCATTGTATGTCTAAGAAAAAAAAATCTGCGCTCCTACTACATTTTTTTTTTTTTACGGGAATTAGCCCACCCGGGCACAGGTCAAACGACCCACAACGGAGCCTAGGGGGCAAAAAAAAAAGAATGGAAAGAAATTGAAAATATAGAAAAAAAGGTTATACAGGTATACCCTCCTACACCACCTGGCACAGTCCACCCTGAACGCCCCCCGTTTTCATTGGGAGCATCAAGTGTTACCATGACAACATGCTCTCAGTGTTGCCATCAAAATAAAAACAAACTTGACGTCAGCGCAAATATGTCACCTGTGTGCTGTTAGTGGAGTACTGTTCTGTGCTTTTTGTGCTACTGTGACTAAATTACTGTGATTCATGTGCTCTTGTGGTGGCGGCTTTTGATGGTAACATTAATCCTATACTGAAATAAGTGGGAAGGGAAGAAATGAAAACAAATCACAACTGTAAGTATTGTTATTATCGTCTTGGTTCTCAGGTGTAGGTCTCAATGAGGTTAATTATCCCCTAAGTTATCCACCACAAACATATAATTAACAAGGAGGTTTTAATAATTCATATTGTATTAATTAGTATTGTATTATAGTGGCGCCATCTTTATAGTTTACTGTTTCTCATTTTTTACAGGAAGTATATTACAGTACATTATTATGATTGCATGTATTATTTATCACAAATCTGGAAATATCTAATACATATAATACCACAGGCCCCACTGTCTCTGTGCCATTAAAAGATTAACATAAGCCTACTCTAAATTATGATTCTAATCGGAACAAGCCACTAAGTACTGTAGTCTTGAATAAATCTTAATTTTGTTTTAAGAGTTTTACATAGCTGGATACCCCACCGTCACAAGATTGTTATGTTTATGATATTTATGTTGAATTGGTTTCCATGTGTGGTTTTGGGTTACAGATGCAGTACTGTATAACAATATCAGGTTAACGTTACTCTTTTTTGGGTCTTATAAGAAGGTCGTTCAGATATCTAGACAGTCCGTCCCTCGTAACGATCTTCAGGAGTGAAGTGCTTCCCCATCTGGAGTACTGTCACCCCATCTGCTCTCCGAGATATGCTAGGGACTGTCAGTTGGTTGAAAATGTTCAAAGGAGGGCCACCAAACTGGTGCCTGCACTTCGGCATCTCAGTTACCCTGAGAGATTGGAGCGCCTGAACCTGCCTAGCTTATACTACAGACGGGCAAGGGGGGGGACCTAGTTGAGGTGTATAAGCATCTCAGGGGGCACTACTCAGTTGTGTGTCCTTACTTGGAGCTGGCGGACGCTCGCCCCACAAGGGATCACAGCTCAAGATTGAAGAAGCCGCAAGTCCAGAAAACCGTGAGGGCAAACTTTTTCGGAGTGAGAGTTGTAAACTCTTGGAACAATCTACCAGAGAGTGTTGTGACGGCACCGAGTGTGAGCTCTTTCAAGACAAGACTTGACCAACACTGGAGCGGGTTCAGGTACATTTAGGAGCCGGTGCATACCCAGTATTTGCCAACAGTGCGTGACAGAGACGTGACTGATCGCCCAGGTGGCTAGCGAGCCATCTTTTGGTGAAGATAAATGAAAAGAAAAAGTAATCAGAGACGTGGATCGCCCAAGTGGCTAACAAGTCGATCAGTGGCGAAGAGGATAAAAGTAAAAAAGTAAAAGTTAGGCCGTCCACGATTTCAGCAACAACACATCACTATTCCGCCATAATTTTTCCTTCTATTGTCTTTAGATATTGTCTTCTATTGGGGATTTTTTTATTTATTTATTTATTTATTATTAATTTTTTTTGGGGGGGTGGGGGGGGAAGTTAGGACATGTATTATATAGCATGTTAATGTGATTCAGACCACCCGCGCACTACACCTTCCTCCTCCCATGGCTCGTTGTGGAGTTATGTTTACCTTCTTTGGTAACCAAACAACTCTTTGAAAACCTTACCTAACCTTTCCAAACTTGTACAAATGTTAAGAATCACTTTTTGAGTTTATGGATCCCTCCTAATCTGAGCAGCAAAAACACCATCACATACTAAAACCCCGAAACAACACCATTACATATTAAAACTTTGGACAAGTAATATTGTTGATAGTTTTATTGGTCAAAATACAAAAAAAAAAAAAAAAAAAATTAAGTCAGTCGTCAGCGAGCCATGGGAGCAGGATGTAGTGCGCTGGTGGTTTGAATCACATTACCATGCTATATGACACATTTCCTAACACCTCCCCAAAAAGCATTTCCCCAATAGAAGACAATATCTAAAGACAATTGAAGCAAAGTTTATGGAGGACCAGTGATGTGCTGCTGTCGAAATCGTTAACTCAATACGAGATAAAAATTCTGAAATCCATTTTTATTAACCCAACAATGTTATCACAGCAATTACAAAGCAAGCATAAAACCTGAGGTCTCCAGTAGTTTCTAGTGAAATACAGGGGTATAATTTAAAAGGAAACTATACCAAACTTAACCTAACCTTCACTTTTTTCCCCCCCAAAAAATAACTGATGGTTAAAATATACTAAAGACATAAAAGTGATATCAGTGAGGTTAAAAATTACTTGACGATATTAGCTGTACAGTAATAGTACTACCTATACGTGTACACTTAGCCAGGATACATGGCTATGCAGATACAGTATCAGGTACCCCTTTTTCTTTTCTTTTTTTTCACTAAATTCAGCCATAGTTCAGTGATGGTTTTGTCTACTTATCAAGGTTTTGTGGTGTCAGTTGTGTATGGGGAAGTACTGTACCTGTATGTGTGAGGCAGTCCCAGATCTATAAGCTTTGGATAAAATTCGCTAGGGTGTTTTATGTGATTTTTACCTTAAAAATTTACTTTATATAGTACGTACTGCATTATCCTTCTCACCATTTGTCTTTCACTTGCCACAATACAAATCTGGCAGTGGATTAAAGAATACAGTATTACCCCGCCTAACGCGGTTTCACTTAACGCGTTTTATCATATACGCGGTGCCTCGCCAGAGCTGAACTTTCACTTAACACGGATTTTTTCCACATATACGCGGTGAGTGTCCGGCTCGAGACGCTATTTTTAGATTTGCCCCACCCGCCACCCTGCCTGACTGCCTGTTTTAGCTCATAAAATTCATACAAATTACCCGGCCAGAATATAATTTACATTGCTGGAATTCTTATAATTTGGTGATCATTTTGAATATAAACATCATATATTTTGCATTAGACATACAAATTTTAGATAAAAAATTTTCTCAGAGTAACTATGTTATCTTTTGTGCAAAATATATGACATTTATATTCAAAATATTCCTGGTCTTACAAGGAATCCAGCAATGTCAATTATATTATCCTAACTTTAATCTGAGGTATTATTTAATACAAAATGTTAAAATCTAAATTTTTCACCCACTCTTCTCTTGAAGGGAGGAGTGGTGGGGGGTGGGGGGGAGGGTTGGGACTGACCGCGCGGTTGGAAGAGGGGGGAAGGCAAGGTGGGGTACTTTGATTGACAGATAGTGTCGTGAAGATTATTTTTTTTTTTATTAACTGAAGATATTTGTTTTAGCTCATAAAATTCATACAAATTACCCGGCCAGAATATAATTTACATTGCTGGAATTCTTATAATTTGGTGATCATTTTGAATATAAACATCATATATTTTGCATTAGACATACAAATTTTAGATAAAATTTTTTCTGAGTAACTATGTTATCTTTTGTGCAAAATATATGACATTTATATTCAAAATATTCCTGGTCTTACAAGGAATCCAGCAATGTCAATTGTATTATCCTAACTTTAGTTTGAGGTATTATTTATTAAAATTTAGTGGTTTTCCCCCAAAAATTTCTCAGAGAGGGAAGAGCCAGTGTAGTGTGAGAGGGGGAGGGAGTTGAGTCCATTATTTGAATGGACATTAACTTGGCGACTGTATTTCTCTATTTCTCTTAAGTATTAATTGTGTGCATGTACCATCATAAAATTAAGATGTTATTTTTACTACAACATAGTTATGTGTCTTCAAAAAGTGGAGTTTGGGGGTCGGGCCGGTTTCTATTGGAATTAATCCCATATGTTCTGTTGTTCACTTAACGCGGATTTCACTTAACACGGGACCCTCTGGGTTCTATTGACCGCGTTAAGTGGGGTACAACTGTACTTTGAAGTAAGAAAAAGCAAATAGGTCATGTATAACTTTTGTACAGTATGTCTGATTTTATGAATCACCTGAAGATTAACCCCCAGCTTATTTCACCTCAAGATTAACCACCCTAATGTTAACATAACATTATCTTACCTAACATAATTTAATCTAACATAACATAACATAAACTAAATTAGCCTAACACTATCAACTTGACCCTCCTAGGTAGCATTAAGATGATTAATCAATAAGCAAAGCATGCTGGGGGCTAATCTTAAGGTGACCTGATTTTAGTGGGTCATTCCTGTTGTAATTACAGAGAGTATGGTGATTGATTCTGTCTATTTGCCAAAAATCTAGAAGCAGATTGCACTTAAGTTAATTCAAATTATTTAACCCTTCACCCCAAAGATGTGAAATGCATTACAGTACCTTTATGCAAGAAACCTGTCACACTCTCAGTCTTTATTATTGATGTGAAAGAACTAAGAAATACATACATTATATGTAAATTAGTCCATATTTTATTGCTACTATGCCCTATCTTCAGTTATCATAACTGTAATTAGATATAGTACAGTATTGTACTACTGTATACTATACTGTACTGGCATTGTGTTTTATTTTATATACAGTATATGTAGTACTGTACTATACTGTGCTGTAATGTACTGTACTGTACTGTACTGTACTGTTCTATACAGGTATTGTGTTTTATTTTATATACAGTATATAGTACTGTACAGTACTGTATATTTGTTCATTTTTAATTCTTTTATATTTTCCATATTCTAGTAAGTGCAGTTAATACGCCATGAATAGAAACAATGAATTTGCCCATCATGCGCCGTGGCTTGTCGCCAGAAGGATGCAAGATACGTGATCGTCACCAAGGAAGCCTTACCATTGGCATCCAGGGAATCACAGTGCACCCAGCTGAACGAGGTATTTAAATGTACAATACAGTACCTTAGAGTGAGATGAATATACTGTAGTGTGAATATACTATATACTGTACTGTATAGGCATGGTGCAAATATTTTTGGACATCCAGGAATTTGTGTCACCTTAAGAGATACCACTTTGTGAAAGGAATTACAGGTAGTTCCGAGTTATGAATGCCCAACTTACGGACAGTATCCCAATGTATTCTTCACAAAACTCAATAATGATTTAAATTTGTTTACATTACTTTATATTGTTTAACCTCACTAATTACAGTACAGTATTTATATTATTTGTTTTGTATATGATATTATTGTTGTTTTGTGTGGGCAGGGTTATGTTTTAGTCTAACTTAACCTGTGGAATTACTACTTCCGACTTACAAACTGATCAACTTATAAAGAGGATCCAGGAACATAACCTGTTTGTAACTCTGGGACTGCTTACTAGGTGACAGATGCAATGCACTGCTCTTAGCAAGAAGACTGATTAATAGGGCCTGTCATTGTTCATATATTTTTAAGTGATTTTTATAGCACTTTTATAGATACTGTATCTGTGCAGTCATAATCCAAAATTTCTTTACCCCCTGGTTGGAGGGAAGGCAAAGCCAAGGTTGAAAAAAGGCCAGACGAACAGATATACAAGATATACACTATGCTTTGTGCTGTCAGTATATACTAACACAGTACAGTATTCATAAAATAATTTTAGCCCTACCAACATACCACATCATGTCAAAGTTTTTAATCATATTTCATTCCTGTCCTCGGGTGTTTTGTCTGAGTGACTGTGTTGAGGTGCTGGTGTGTGAGCCCTACCGTCATCATGCCTCATCACCAAACTACTGAATGAGTTTACAGGTATCCCTAGAGATATGAAAATTCTCTTTTTTCAAATTTCCTATATTGACACCACTATTTCGTGTTACCTATGAAAGCTTTCCCTGCTTATACGAATTTGGGTCCCGACAAAGATTCAAATCACTTGCCCCGACAGTCGGCTGGGGCGGCCACATCTCCCTAGAGCACTCCCTACCAGGCTGAGGTAGGAGTTATGTTATGGATTTTATGGCTAGTTTTCACTTCATAATTTTGGGTATACAATACTTTTACCGTATTATATAAACATAACTTTCTTCATATTTTTTTTTTCATTCAGCTACATGCATACATAATCCTACATACAGATGTGAAAAAAATAAAATAAAATTATCGTAAGGTCAAAAACATAAAGGGAATACAGTACATGTTACATTTTTTCATGCACCAGTGAAATTAGTAGGATGAGCTGGGGAGGGTTATGTTATGATTATTTTACAACTTGTACTTTTGGATAGATAAACTTAACTTTCTTCACTTTTTTTTTTTACTAAGTTGCATGCACACACAATCCTATACTGTATACATAATATGCAAAATATGTCAAAGAAATAACTATCATTAGGTAAAAAATATAAAGGGAATAAATATTTCTTTGTGTGTGAGCGGGGGTAGGAGCGTTGTGGTTGAGCAGGCTGATTGCTTTGACCATGCTTCAGGGTGGTCACGCTGAAGCAGCCAGCGTCTATGCAATTGGTGCCACTTGCGGGTGTCTTAAACTTTGATTAACTTTTCCTTAATAGTTTTAGCTGCATATTTTCATCTAGATAGTATTTTATTAATGTTTTTGTGTTAGGTAGTAAATTACAGTACAGTAGTTGTGAACTATTTATCATGAGTTAGATGCTATTTTTCTTGTTTGTGAACTGATTTCGTGTTTTGGGGGTATGATATTAGGATAGTTTTGTCATTGAGGAACCGAACCCTATTGTTCCCATATGTTTTTCTATTCGATATACGAAAATTCACCTAACGATTTCTTTTTTTTAACCTAACCCATTCGTATCTTGAGGGATACCTGTATGTCCATTCGTCTGGCCTTTCTTCAACCTTGGCTTTACCTTCCTTCTATCTAGGGGGTAAAGAAACTTTGCATTGTGACTGTACTTACTGTACTAAATTTGAATACAGTTACCTGTACTGTACTTTACTGTACAGTACAGTACAGTACAGTACAGGTACTCCTCGACTTACGACCACCAGGACATACTACCGCCGCAGTTGTATAAAATATTTTTCAAATTACGTATTTTTGAGTCCCGACGTTAGTGATTGCGCTGTGTATTGACATAATTTTCGTTTGTAATTCCCTTTAAAATGGCTGGCAAGCATAAAAGTGAGAGTTCTCGTGGTGCTGAGAAGAAAAAGAGACACCCATTTTAGATTTTCTGTGTATTATTTTCGCATTTTCGACTTATGACCTGGTCGTCGGTCCCTAACCCCGTCGTAAGTCGAGGACTGACTGTATTTCAAAATGGTGTGAATACCTTGAATTACATAAAATGCTTGAATCCAAGTCTGGACTTGACAAATAACTGCCAAGAACATTTTGTGTACAGTACAATACATGTTGTCATGACTGTTAATTCAAAAGTTATTACTGGTAAATAACAATCAAACTTAAACTCACTGAAGAAGAATTATACAGTATGTGGACAGTAGTTAACATCAGGTAAATTACCTTTTTAGGTAGACCTCAAAATACTTTCTTGCAAGAAAACGTAAGACGACTGCACGAAATACAAGCTCGATGTAAGGGACGAGATAATAACAAAAGATCTCAGCCCTTAAAAGCAACAAGAGAGAGTTCAGCAAGTACCACATCATCAGTGAGACAGGTGAGTCCTCAATACAGATGTACAATGTCTATGTCAAATTTTCTCGTTCACTATAGTAATGATCTCTTTAACAAGCTGATGTCTAACTGTTGCTCTATTATCAAAATTTCTCTCTAATAAATTATTTAGTGCTGAAGGTGAAGTATACCAAATACTGTATGGAGATGTTCTTGTGATTTGTATCAGAATGTGCTATGTAATGTCAGATATTAAAATTTAAAGTTAGGGAATATAGCAATTCATTGAATCTTTGTTAATTCGGTATTGGCTGGGCTCTGGGCTGATCGAAGAATTTTATCAGGAAATAATAAAATAACCATACATATTGAAATTACCAGCAAATACTGGATTTTTTACAACTTGCCTCACAATTCAAAAGATTTTTATTTTTTCAGTACCGTATGTGTATTTTGATCTTTGATATTGGAAAGACTAGCATGAGAAAAACCTAACATTCTCTTAAGAATAATGTACTACTGAAAACAGGTTCAGTATCCCTTCACTATCAGAATTATCACTATCCGAATATTCTATTTTTACACCTCCTTTTCACTATCCAAAGGTGAAATTCGCTTATCTGAATGTTGGTCCGATTGAAAATTCAAATTGCATGCCACATGCGACCCATGAATCAACTGGGGCAGTCAAATTAGCACCCCAGATGTGTAGGGACTTACTCTTAATCAAGGGGGTATGACATCATCCCCCTCCTTCCCGCATCCTCTCATGCTCCATTCGGTCATTTGTTTGGTACAAGTGAGGTGCTCTCTCTTTATCCGTCTATATTCATGCCATCCTTTCGTGAATCTGTACGCATTGGCATCCAAGCATATTAGTGACTCCTCTGCTTCACTGCTAAATATTGTTGTTTTTTGTCAGTTGTGAACCAAACCCTATTTTTGCCATTGATGATATTATTCACTATCTGAATATTCGATACCGGAATGGCTTAAAAGGAACACTAAAAAGGTATTCCTAAATACACCTACTGTATTCCTTGCTCTTGCATCTTATATGCTATAAAATATGGTATATTAAAAGAAATTTACACACTATTTGTTAACAATCCACACTGTAAAGTATATTGTACTGTACTGTATATATAATATATACACTAGGCTATAGAAAAGTTTATTTACCATTTACTCTGAAGATCCTCTTGTAGATGGTTTGACTGAGGACTGTACTGTACAGTGCAGTACTAAATTTTATTAATATTGAGTAAGTATAGAGTTTGCACTCAGCACAGTTTTGTGCAATAGGGCACTATTTTGAAGAAAAAAAATTACACAAAGGAGAAGGTTTCATAAATTCGGTTACAGTGCTGTAATGCTAATTTTATTATTGTTTTAGGCAGATGCCCTGGCACCTAATCGAAATGGGTCTGCAAAACCTCGCAGCAGAAGCCAGTGTTCAGAACGAGAAGGGAGTGCACACTCAGACTATTTTTCTCTCACAGAAGAACAGATTGAGCCATTAGTCACCAACCCTACTCACCATTACCACTCAGAGCATGATGGACTTATATCATCAGATGATACTGGGATTTCAAATAATGATTGGGATGAGGAAAATATTGTAAATCATCCCAGAGGCTCAAACCATCATAGACAAACTCTTAAAAAAAAGTCTCAAATCTCTGATCACCAACAAAGGCCAAGATCAGGAAGTCCAGTTATATTGAAGCCTCTCGCCTCAAAGCTGACACAGACTGTACCCACACCAGTGGTCCCAGCACTGAGACAAATGCCTGCTAGTAATCAGGTGCTCTTATCTAATACTGAGTTGACCCAAGAGATCAGGAAGATGAAATTGGGTAATTTGATGTCAAAAATTAAGCATCAAAAGCCTTCATGTGAAGTGGATTATAATGTACATTATAAGACAATTGAAAATCAACACAAAATGTTACTTGATAGTTCTGACAGGTTAAGTTTATATGGATCATGTGAGGGAAGTGCACGAAATGACATTGACACTCAGAGATCTACCATGAAATGTAAAGTACCTGCCATAACCAATAGACCAGCAAGTTCAAAGATGGTACGTGCTCAAAGTTTTGACAGGGATTTATTAAGTAAAAAAAATGGAAATGCAATATCTAGATCAAATAAATTAGGCACTGTGGGGAATATAAACAGTATTAAAAAGAATTTAGTGCATCCTTCATCTCCACAACTTAGGAAAAAGTTTTCAAAATCGAATAGTAATCTCATCCATACTAATCATAATGCACTACCAGATAGTGGGAGTCATGACCAGTTGGTCAGAACAACTCAAGAGAAAAAGAGAGATGTCAGTAATGATAGAATTAATAGCTCAGCCATGTCACCAAGGAAAGATGACTTACAAAATTCTGAAGTTATCCAGAGGAGTAAAAGTGATCTAGAAAGGATTTGGATTGGAAAAGGTGAAGAAAATATACATGAAACATCAGTTCACTCGTATAACCAGAACCACAAAGTTTTTGATGGCTTTCATTCAGATTGTAGATCAAACTGGGATGAAGCCACTAATGTCAGTGTTCCATTTAATAGGACATCATCTGCTGCTGAACTAGATCTTAATGCAACACTAGCTTCTAGTGCTGATATGAATATTGATGATCAAGATCAGTCAATTTTCTGTGAACCAACGGGTGAAAAGTTTCACCTGAATATACGTTCAGAAAGTCAGAACACTGAAAATGGGGTGGACCAGAATGGAGATACTGAGGTTTGGCCACAGGATAATGACTTGAACTCTTTTGACACAGCTGAAAATGAAGGACATGTTATACAAGATAAAGATAAATATTCATACAGTGAGGAAATGATGCAAGATGAAAATATACGTAGTCATATGCCAGTGGGTGAAACCATGAAAACTTCTACACCTGTGCCAAACATTCTTCCTGGTAGTCCAGTGGCTAACTCTTCTCCAAAACTTTTGAAGGTGAGACTAAGTAATGTATTGTACTGTAGTTTATGTGCCTCTGTATCTGTGTACATGTAATCAAATTTCTTTCCATTGGTGGGTATTTCTATAAATTTATCACTATATACAGTGTTCTGGACTCACATAATTAATTAGGGGTAGAACATTAAATTACTAGGTCTTTGCCAAACTCTCTCATGCAAAAAACAAAGGTTTAGCACATGTAAGTGTGTTTTATCTGAGTGTATGTCTATGTATCATTCAGTCTATGTTTTGTTTACTCTCTGTTCCTTGTGTGTAGTCATTTAGCTACTGAATGGTATCTGTTACAAACTTAAATTGTGTATAATATATATGAACCAAAGGTAATTGTTATGTGTTAGTGTTTAAAACTTTACTCATTTCCAAAATATCTTGTGTTGAGCATTTGTGAGTACAGTTTCTTCTTCAAGATGAATATGTCATAAAGATGGAGAACTAACCGTACGTGTTTGTGAATGTAAACTGTACAGTTATATTTCCAAATATTCATATGATTTTATGACAGTAGCGAGTTGGTGGTTGATTTACAATTTATATTCAAAACTCTGTAATTATATGTGATTATCCAAGTTCAGTCCTCACAGTCAGGTGACCTTTTCAGCTTGTTACACTGTTGAAGCTGATAAGTAGCCAGAAAATGTTTTGTTAAGATTAGCCTTTTCATTCTGTTGATTCAGGGTCAAAAGAGCCATTTGAACCAGTGGTTTAAATGAAAGTTGCAGGAGCATTTGAGGTCCTCGAGTCGATTATATTGACTTGAATTGAAAAGTTGATAGAGGTTCAGCATTAGAAGTTTATGATTATGGTTTATGCAGAGGGTCACTTGTGCAGCTTTTTGTACTACCCTTGATACATTTAACTAGATGAATTATAAATAAATAGTCAAGATGCCATTGCATTTATGGAATTTTAAATCATTTTATGGCTAACCTACGCAAGCGTGAAAAATGGCCCTTAATATTGATGATGATGATGATTCATATAAGCACGTTTCTCTGCTGTATCTGTCTGAATCCTTATCAGATAATGTTCATAAGTTTTCATGTCAGGAATATACGGTAAGTTGTTTGAACTTAAATTTTTAAATATTGCTTTTATGACAGAAGAAAGAACAACATCAGCTTCAGACTTCAGCTAGATCCTCACTTAGAAGATCCCAGTCCTTGAAGAATGTGCAGCAGCGTCATGGCGACCCTCCACCCACATACAAGAAGGGCAGGATACCAAGGTAGATTGTGTTAATATCTTGTACTGTTTGTCTTTTATGGGTGGAAGAGTCGTAAACTCTTGAAATAACTTGCCAGAGAGTGTTGTGATGGCACTTAGTGTGAACTCATTTAAAGCCTGACTTGACCAACATAGATGCAGGTACAGACACATTCTGGAGCCAGTACATGCCCAGTACTTACCAACAATGTGTAACAGAGACATGACCAGTTGCCCAAGTGGCTAACAGGCTCATTAGAGGCAAAGAGGATAAAGAATGGAAAAGAGTATGTAAATTATGACTGTACACCCATTTAGGTTAACTTCCTGAAGACTTTAGTGCAGTGTATGCTTGTCATCCTAGGTAGAAGTTCTAGCTAAGATTACTGTGGTAAATCTCTTGATAGTTAAGTTGTTAGTCTCTGTCTGCAGAAGATACCCGATTAAATAACCTTTCGACTCATGATATTGCCCTTTTTTTAATGGGTATACAGTAGATATTAATTTTACATGTATTTTCTGCATGTATAAGATGTATATTTGTTCTGTATTGTTATAAATGCAGGGTACAGTAATATCTTCTGTAAAAGTTAAGAAATCTCCCTTGATAACATGATCTCTTTAGGTACATCTTGGCTCGCAAGGAAGAAGAACGGCGACTGGCAGAGTTGGCTCAGGCTGTTGACCCAGACTGCCCACCTGGCCATACACCATTGCCGGATCACGAGCGTCGAAACACACTCCATCTTCTCCAGAAAAGTAAGTAAATATTACTATGTTAGGAAGGTTCTATATACATTTCTATCTCTTTTGCTTGTAAGTGATCATAGAACAGTGTAAAGTACTTGGTAACATCCACTTTCCTTGAGTTTTTTGTAACCTAGACAGGAAATTAAATAACAGTTGGAGGATGTAAGCAGTAATGATAAAATTTTCAGTATAACACTCACACATGACCAGCTTCAGTCTAATACTCACACATGACCAGCTTCAGTATAACACTCACACATGACCACAGCTTCAGTATAACACTCACACATGACCACAGCTTTAGTATAACACTCACACATGACCACAGCTTCAGTATAACACTCACACATGACCACAGCTTTAGTATAACACTCACACATGACCACAGCTTCAGTATAACACTCACACATGACCACAGCTTTAGTATAACACTCACACATGACCACAGCTTTAGTATAACACTCACACATGACCACAGCTAGTATAACACTCACACATGACCACAGCTTTAGTATAACACTCACACATGACCACAGCTTCAGTATAACACTCACACATGACCACAGCTTTAGTATAACACTCACACATGACCACAGCTTCATACCTAATTATCTCATTTTAGATGAAAATAAATAACTTTACAATATGTATACTGTATTTGTATTACATATTTGCACTGAATATTTCAGTGTAAGAGTTGTTGATCTTATAATGACATAACTACACTTCAATACCTAAAGTCTGTTATCATGTAATAGGGTTAATAAATACACTAGTCCATCAACAATTAAAAATTATGAGAAATATAGGTCTCTGTGTGCAAGAGATCTTTACAATTTCATGTTAATGGTAAATTGCAAAATACCTCCTTCACCTCATCATCTCAATTAATAATTGGTACAGTATTTGTCTTGACTATTGTGTAGTCTGATAAAAATTTGCAACTGCGCCAGTTTTTACTTTATAGATGTAATAGTGGTAGTGTACAGTAGTTGATATAATGTCGATAATAGTGTAGTGGGGGGTTGGCATTAGCACACATATCTCTCACCAATATGGCAAGGGTTTGAGTCCTGCTTTGTCTTGACACATGTGAGAAGGGTATTATCCAGTGTGAACCTCCCAAACATACAGGTTTCTCCGGATACTCCAGTTTCCTCCTGTACTAGCACTGGACAGACCAACCACCCAAATGATAGTGTAATTGCTGTTTTGTAGCTAGTGTGGTCATTGTAATATACATGATAGTATAGTTAAATTTGATGTAGTGTAGATTGTGTAGTGGATGTAGTGTAGCTGATAGTGCAAACAAAAGCAAGCACACATAATGCACAGATTCCCCAGCGAGTAATTTAATACTGTAAATGAAAAAAGACTATTATTCCCTGTTGTGAACAATGAACACCATTGCATAAGTCAATGGTTATACGAGTTAGAGGGAGTGAATGAAACCAGATAGAGGGAGCTTGTGTTTTCCTCTTGATTCAGGCCCACCCAGCACCACAGCAGGAAAAAGCTTGTAAGAATGAAAATGAAAAAAAGCAACAGGTTGTGGCTTTGTTGTATGTACTTTAAGGAATTTGATAAGAAAATGGTTCATGTTTACATTAATTACAGGCCAAGCTGAAGTATTGAGAGAGCTGTCATCATTACCAGTGGCTCAAGACACTCTCAGGGTTAAGAGAGTTCGTCATGATCTGGAGGCAAAACTTGTGCAGATTGATGATGGACTCAGAATCTTCTCTCAGCCTAAAGTGTATGTCATGAATGATGATTGAAGGTGCTATATTCAGGCAGAAAAAATACTATTCCATACTTATGAATGAATGAGGCAGTTGTGTTCTATATTCTTTACTGTAATTTTTTCATATAAAGGCTCTTATGATTAAGTTGCTATAAATAACTCGTCTATGGCTTGAACTCATTCTCCATGACATCTGCTGCTCCTTGTGGAACACTGGGCTAATCAATGGAGAAGCACCTGCTCACATGCACCATACTTTAACATAGGTGTACTATCATTCTATATGAATATTCATCATCTGTGGAACAAAGAATATATAATTTGACTTGTATCCCAAGAGATAGATAATTTATCTTCTCCATATAAATTGAAGGGTTTCTAATATACCAGGTAGGTAGTACGAGTATTGGCCTATCAAATACAACTGGAATAAGATTATTTTCATCATTAACAGCAGTATTTGCCTTAATATGATTTTCAAGTGAGTTATTGGAATTTTTTCCAAAAGATGTTAAAACTTTTTTCTAATAAAATGACATCAATTAGTGGAGGAATAAAAAGATGTCCTCCCTGTGGACAACTTCCTGTGAATGTGGAAAACATTCATATCTTCAACTTTTGTGCAAATATATTTTCCTTTTCAGTGTACTGTACAGTACATATGTACGGTACTGTACTTACTGTGGATTTCACATTTTTTTAATTAAATGAAATCATGTTGTAATACATTTACATCAGCTGTCTGCAGATTGTCTAGTTTAGCATTTGGTATTTTTTGGCAACTTTTAATACAAGTGAACCAAATTATGTTTTGAATGCCTGTCATCTCCTCGTCTTTATAGCAGTGATACTGCTTATGAGAATGAATAACTACAAGCCGTCCTCACCTTGTACAGTACTCCAGTCTTCAACTTTTGGAAAATATGTTTATCCACGATAACTTACTATGGCATATACAGTATATACAGTATACACAGAGTACAGAGTATACTGTACAGTATATAATTCAACAACAATGGGAACAAGATAGATGATAAGTAAATGGCCTCTTTTAATGTAGAGTATTACAGGGGGTCCCTGGGTTATGAATGGGTTCCATTCCTGAGGACGTTCTTAAGTCGAATTTGTACGTAAGTTGGAACACATGCTATGTGCATACTGTACTTACAGAACTTTGTTTAAAATCCCACTATATCATAGCCTAAGTCCTTATATACATCTAATATCACTTAATTTAAGACAAAATAAGAAATAGAATGACAAAATACAGTAATTGAAAGTAAAAAATAAGTCATCAGGTACATTACATAAAATACTAAAATTTTCAAGTTTAAACCTGTTCATATTAGCGGGCATTCGTAAGTCGGACGTTCGTAAGTCGAGGACCTCCTGTGTAGTATTATATATGGCGAACAGGTTGTAACTACTTTCTATAATGTGTAATTTAAAAATGAAGTGAGTCTTTAGTTTTATATTAGGCATTTTTATTAATCATCTCAGAAAAGATATATTTTTTATAAGATTGTTTTTTGTATAATATATTTTATGTAATATAAAATCTTAATAACTTTAAAACTTTAGCATCTTATTAATGTTTTCTGATTTCATAACATATTCATCAGCAATAGAATATATATATATATATATATATATATATATATATATATATATATATATATATATATATATATATATATATATATATATATATATATATATATATATATATATATATATATATATATATACATACCCTGTACACACACACACAGTAGAAGCAGTCCCCGAGTTACGAACACCTGCACTTATGATTGCAATCCCAGTATATATTCATCACAAAACTCTGTAACGAGAATCCCATTTTTTACATGAATTTATATTTTTTAATATCACTTTATTTACAGTTCCATATTTGCATTATTTATTATGAATGGGATATTACTGTTGTTTTGTATGGGCAGGGTTGTGAGTAAACCTTATCTAAACTCTTGAATTAACACTGTTCCAACTTACAAAAACAAAAATTTACGAACAGGGTCGTAACTCGGGGACTGCCTATATATGAATCCACCATTGGGTGTTCTCAGTATAGGCCTCTCCCTAGTTTAGAGTTAGAATGACCCTCACAGTTAAGATGTCTCTTGTATATGTCTCACCCACTAAAACCTTCTGCAGTTCTTCCCTTTCTTCACTCAAGTACAGTACTGTCACCCTGGCCATTCACACTAATCCAAGTTTGTCTTTTAGCTCCTCCTTGTAGGTGTCTCTTTTACAAACCATAACCCTAACTGTGCCCATCTTCATCAGTTGACCTTTACCATCCTTCCTCACTTCCCAACTAAATGGAATGTAACAAGTGTATAAAGTCTAGCTGAAAACTAAAAGGAATCTGTGAATCATCATGTCATATTATGTGAAACAGAAATGTTTCTTTTATCTCACATTAAATTGTACTCTCCTACATCCTGTATCACCTTAAACATCATTCATGGTTACATTTTTCTGTGCTCTCACCTTTCTTTCCTGTTTCTGTATTTTGAGGGAATAGTAGAGTGGTTATGATTGTAAAATATGTGCAGTATTATAAAAAAATTAATTAAAAAAAGTATTCTAGATTTTGTCACAACTGAATTATCATCCTTAGTATTACAGCATATTCTCTGTCCATTTTAAAGACCTTTCTGTATCCAGGTGAAGAAATGTGCCTGGAAGAACTAGAATTAATCTTTTTGATTGCATACCATAGTTATTTTAAATATTGTACTTGTGACTTCAGTATATGGATCCTCATCTTTGTTTCTAAATATTCAGCAGTACTTACAGGTATCCCTCGTTTAGTATTAATTCACTTAACATTAATTCAGCTTAGTAATAAAAAAATATTGACACCCTTTCTTTCTTAACATTAGGTCAAAATTTGGTTCAACCATAGCTTGCCTCACTGGGGAGGGGGAAAAACTGGGGATAAGATGGCCTGTGTGATGGGATGTTGCCATTGTTACAGGTAATGAAACTATAAAAGTTGTGGAAAAATTATTACAATACACTGATGTGGCTTAGAAAAAAATAAAATAAAACTATGAAATAAGAAAAATGAAGAACTTGGGTGTGTATAAGTGTGAACTGAACGTATTTGTGAAGGCAGTGGGCTGTGACTACATCACGAGTCCAGCTGTGCTCCTTGACTCCCTCCCTCAATGTGACGTCATGGCATGCACTCAGCAGCAGCAGCCACAAGTCTCAGTCAGCTAGGTGACTGCCCGGCTGAACTGTCATATCACCCAGAGGATTGTTTAAGTGTGGAAGGAGCCATTTTTTTTGTTTAAAATCAGTGCTAAGGTATTTTCTGGTATGCTATTTATTAATTTTATTGTTTATCATAGCATTTTTTCATTGTTAACGTATGCAATTTGAAATTTGTTCAAATTAGGCTTACCTTTTGCTCACTAAATTGTTCAACTCTGAACCACATCGTTCAAATCAGTGGTTCCCAACCTTTTTTGGCTGCAACCCTAAATTTCCCAACAATACGGTGTCGTGACCCTCAGGCATATACAGTAATATATTATATAGCGTTGAACAAGGGATACCTGTCGATGAAAATACTGTAGTTACAACACAATGATCAAGACAAATTAAGAAAGATATTTTATTTACCATCACTTTGTAATTATATCTGGGAATTTATTTGGTTCATTACAGTGCTGTATATGCCTTATGTAAATTCATACAGTAGTGTATTTTCATAATACTGCATGTGGTATAGGTACCAAGTTTTAGATGGGAATGTCTTTGGAGTTTTACTTTGATATATGTTAAATTGTTTACTGTAATAACATTTGATCTGTGTGTAAGTTCCTTAACTGGGAGACAGTTGTATGTTAACCTTATTACATCAGGTCTGACTGTTGTCTTTTGGCTATTTTTTAAACACTTGATCTGTTTAATTTTTGTATATTTATTTATGGTTCATTTTACTATTATTATCATTATTTATATATATTTTTTTATATTTATATATTTATTTATTTGTTTACTTTTGTTTTTGTTTTTATGCCGCCAAGACTTGGTATTTCTGAACCCATGAAATTGACAGACCTGGGCAAGACAAACATAAAACTGGTTAGGTTCAAACATTTCCTCTCAAAATATGTAATTTAACCTTACCTAACAAACACTGGTGGTGCCTAAACTCCACCGGAACAACATCCGAACAGTGAAATATACACGTGAAAAACATTTTGTAAGGAATGATTCATTTACAGGATATGTATAATACAGGGTATATAAAAATTTACATCTTTAAATTATTTTTAAAAAGATGAAACTTGACAATTACCCAAGTATTATGCCATTCACCAAGTTCATGATCTACCAAGTGCATTTGGCTGCTGCCTGTATGCTGTGACACCATAGGGGGAGGGAGAGTGCAGTTGGCCACAGTTACAGCTCACTGCCTCAATACATACGTTCATTTCCCACACCCAAGCTCTTCATTATTTTTATTTTTTAGTTTTATGGTATACAGTACGTACTGTACTGTATACACTATGAAACTATAAAATACTGTAATGTACTATATATTGTATACAGTATAGTATTTTCTTTATTTCTAAGTCACATTACAATTTTGTAATGATGCATAGAATCCCCAGTTTTCCTGACTTCCCTCCCGAATTTTTCCCAGTGAGTCAAGGATTATTAAACCGAAAATTGACTATTGTTAATGGAGAAAGTGTTAAAAATTTAAAATCACGAAACCAAAAAATTGCTTAGTGAACTATACTGTACAGTATTGTTAAATGAGGGATACCTGTATTATGTTATAACTTACCCAGGGAAGGAGGATTAGGTTAGTCTGAAAGTAAACATAAGAAAGATATACTTGTGCTCACACTGTAATGACTAACACACTCTCTGACCCAGCCTCAGGGTTGAATCAGGGTTTCATGGGTAAAATGTGAAGTTTGTCACCCCTGCACTAAGACTTAATAGAAGTTTTTAAACACCTCAGAGGGCATTACTCAGTTGAGTTTTCTTACCTGGAGCTGGCAGATACCCACCCCACTTGGGGTCACAGCTAAGGTTGAAGAAGCCACAAGTTCAGAAAACTGTCAGGGCAGACTTTTTTGGAGAGAGGGTTTTGAACTTTTGAACAATCTGCCAAAGCATTGTGATAGCACCAAGTATGAGCTCATTCAAAGCCAGGCTTGACTGGCGCAGTTACAGATACATTCTAGAATCATTACTTGCCCATTACACGACAACAGTGTATAACAGATAAGTGACCAACTGCCCAAGCAGCTAATAAACTGATCATTGGCAAAGAGGATAAAAGTAAAGTAAGATACAATCCATGGGCACTTGCTAGCTTGCACTTGCTTAAGTGTACTGTCATTTATTATCTGTGAAATGTACAGTAATTCTAATATTTTTAAACTGATATCCAAAAGTTTTGTTTTAATACCGAGAAGGACAAAAATTGGTCATGAGTTGCATCAGCTCAGGCTGGTTAATAAGTTCTCAGAGTCAGTCAAGATCGTTATACTGTACTGTACTTTAGAAGTGACTGATACAGCAATGACTATATTAACTAGCTGACACAGCAATGACTATATTAATTGGCTGTCATAGCAATGACTATATTAACTAGCTGACACAGCAATGACTATATCAACTGGCTGACACAGCAATGAATATATTAACTGAATTTAAGTTCCTGTACTACATTTCTATTGCATCACATCATTTTACTCAGAAATCTATTATGTAAGTAGAAATATATTGTCAGTTTCAAGAGTTTTGTATGTTGCCCATATCCTTTCTCTCGTCTTGATAAAGGTCTGTAAACACCATATTGTCAACATCACAAATACAGTACTGTATAGTACATCAGCACCACCTCAGGCAAGTCAACTTTTACCCTACCCTTCAATTATTCCCTGACACATGCTTGAATCCAACTAACTTTATCCAGAACCTTCATTTAATCAATCAACTCAAGTTTATGTCGACCACATGATTATACTGCTATAAAGCAATTAGTATGCATGAAGGAAATCTTTTCATAATATAACTATAGCAACACACCTACTGTAGAAGCAGATTTGATTGAGATCATAATGCAGAGCACCTTGAGTCAGTCATCCATGAAAGCATTAGGTATTGGAAATAATATTAGGTTATCTTT